ATATCGATATAGAATTGTCAAGGAGACTCGTCTCGAAACTTTTATGAACAATTCAAAAAGTTTACCGAAAATTGATTAACGATAAAGATATCTCTTAAAAGATTACGGTGGTTTCCCTGGGAAAAATCGGCCCTGTGGTGAATTGGTTCGGATTAGGGGATCGATAACCTTGCTCGCTCAATATGAATCAGATAACTAACCACAACGATAACCCAACGCCAAATATGGCAGCAGTAGTTTGTGCCAGAACATCTCGGTTCAAGCCTCGGATAGGGAGCACAATCGATTGATGAAAATGATAAACACGACAGACTAAAACACTTTACTGGGTTAAGCGACGTGAGACCACGGCAAAAATAACTTAATAAGTGGTTGAAGTGTTAGATTGTGAATTTGAAAATAGTAAAAGACGGGTTTAACTTCCATTATTTGCCTCTTGCATCTGAACTCTGGCGAACCTAAATCCAGCCTTAGTAGGAAGAACTCAATCTTGACTAATCGCTTTACATTGCATGCGTTTCAATTCATATTTAGCTACGAGGAATCTATGTTTTTGATCTCAAATCACTTGATTTGACACTTGGAAAAAAAAAAAAAAAAGATTGGGATGTAGCTGAAACGACAAAGGCATATGAAACGCACGAAGATGTTTAAAATGATGAAATGATTTTGTACTTCTGGGGATAAGCGTAACAAACTAGGCTACAAGCTGGGCCGCCCAGGTCACCCTGTTTGCCTGGGCGGTCCAGCCGTGCAGGGGCCACCGAACGTCCCAGCAAAAAAAAAAAAAAAAAAAAAAGAACTGTGTGGTGCAGAAAAAAAACTGAGCAACTTTGTCTCAGGGTGAAATCGAAATGCCTTACCAGATTGGAAATAAGAAATAATTTAAAAGACTATTTATTTTTTTATTTTATTTTGGCCGGGCTGGGCAAAGTGGTCCTGGGCCACTCTGGTAGCCTAGCTAACAAAATAATTTTAATGGTTAAATGAACATAATTTTTGGGTATTTTGACAATGTACTTATGAAAAGAGATTAAAAGAGATTATTGTGTTTTTAAAACTAAAAAAAAAGTACATGCTACGTCCACGTAGGGTGTTTTAACCTGCAGTGCTTCGTGCCTTTGAACCATTACGTTACGTGCAGCAAGTACTTAAAAAAAAGCAACTCCTAGTAGAAGTTGTATTATTAATTTATTATTGAATTTTCAAGTATTTTTACTAAACTGCCAATTATATAGAGTTTCATTTTGTTTGTGTCTTTTTTCTGCATGTTGTCAACGTATGAAATGACACAAGCCGCTTATCAATTTATCACACGTATTATTGGGTCAGGGGCTGTATCGGGTAAGACCATGTGTCAGGCTGCCCACCGCTAGACACTGCCTAGGGGCGGCCCTATGGAATACTCGCTGTGTGACCAGCCTGGGCTGGTTCTCATAGGGAAAAAAAAAAGTGTATAGGGATCTCGTAGGGAAAAAAAAGTGTATAGGGATGTCGTAGGGAAAAAAAAGTGTATAGGGATGATCATGCTTGGCGACCAAAGCACTCGTGCGACAGCGATAGAGTGTGTAACAAGCGCTGGGAGAGGTTGTCCTGGCCTAGCGCTGGGAGAGGTTGTCCTGGCCTAGCGCTGGTGCCTGCAACTGCTATCGCGTATATGTCCGAGGTAGGGCTAACAAGTGGACCCGTAGATGGTGCACAACGGACCCCGCATGACCTAAGAGCCGATTCTATCAGGCTTGTAATCCAGCTGCACAGAGGCTTAGGCCACCAGCTGCACAGCGTCCGTGAACCTAAATCCAGCCTTAGTAGGAAGAACCCAATCTTGACTAATCGCTTTACACTGCATGCATTTCAATTCATATTTGGCTACGAGCATTCTACGTTTTTTATCTCTAATAACTTGATTTGACACTTGGGAAAAAAAATTTTGAGTTGTAGCTGAAAAAAGGTTGGGTTATTGTTTTGTTGGCTGCCCCCGCCAGCCATCGAGCTTCTGCCGCCTGAAACCTCCGAAGAACTCAAATGTTACATTTTCGATCCTCAGTTTTGCTTGCAAAACATAGTGCCGTTTTAATGCGGGGTAATGGAAGAGCAGGAGGACCAATATGCCCATATACCAACATTTGCACATGCCTAACCTTGAACGACCAGTACCTCGCCCGGCTGAAAAAAAACCGACGCAGCTGTTTACGTGCCGCTTCGGGCGGGGGTCGTAGGTGGAGAAAATGCCTAAAAGTGGGTGGAGAAAAGTCATATTGTGGGTATGGCCTAAGCTGCGACAATTTCGTCTTTTGACGCAATGGTACCCTTGCCAAGTACTTGTTGAGCCCCTCGTGGCTAAGCGGACACCATGCGACACCATGCGCATGATCGGTTTACCCGAACCAAAAGGCTTCCAGCACACGGTACTAGGTCCTCACCTGCCACGTCTCAGAATTGTTTTAGGCGCAGGCGAAGTTTTGCACATGAGAAAGAAAAGGCTTGGACATAGGGTCTCACTCCACCACTCTCGAAATGTGCAAAACGAGAGCGAATCTTCCGTTAGAACAAGGAAAGAAGCATCGCCATGATTTTTGTCTTTTGTGCATTTCGGGAGTAGTGCAGCGACGCCCATATTGTTGATTTAACAAATGGGAGCTTTCGGAGACGTCACATAAGGGAGAAGGGGGAAGTTGGGGAGCACAGGATCTATCGGGGGCGCCCAGCTTGAGAAAGGGACAAGACAGGAGATGGTACGTCCTGTAGCGATTGCTCGAGGAGAGCAGATGACATACGATCGCTGATCAGAGCACATCCGCAAGCTGTTGCACAATGGCTTATCACAGGACATCTGTGGCATAATCTATTCAAGAAGTGTCGAAACGCGGAAGCGCAAATCATGGATGGATAAGAGGCTTGAGCGCCATGTCTGCATCCACTGCACAGCTGTCAGTCAGTCATACCTGGCGGAGACTTGTGCTGCTGCAAGCCCCCGTGAAAGTATATATCTCACGCGCACGCCCGGAGTGGTACCTTCGTTAAACTCGGGAGGTCCCGCATGACACGGGCTGTGAAAGTCTGACACCTGCAAACCAGACCATAGTAAAATGTTCTATTCAGCCGTAACAAGTGCTCTTCGGACCCGCCGAACCGTGCGAGATGGTCGCCCATCACACTGCTCTCCAACCTGAGTAACCTTTGTGGCGTGGGCCGCGCACTGCAACAGGGTAGCGAGAAGAAATCATGGACACCTTGTGGTCCGCGCACCCCAACAGGGTAGACAGAAGAAATCACGGACACCTTTGGGCGGGAGGATAACCTATCTGACCCGGTTGCATAATTGCATGTTTTTCTGTGGTGCCACCAGGTTTGTCCTGGGGGCCCGACTTGTGATTTTGTGGCAGATGAACTGCCGCATTGGAACAAAATTGCTGGGAAACAGATTGGTACTGCTGTAGGGAAGTAAGCAGCACATAACTTGCTGGTATAGAGCCATGGTTGATACTGTTTCACTTTTTTCCTCTTTTTTTTTTGTGAATTTTTTTATTACAGCGGAAGCTGCAGTCTTGTGTACCGTACAAGAAAAGAGGATTGGAGAATTCAAGCCATTATAAGGAAAATAAAAAATAAAAAATAGAACCCTCTAATATAGAAACGGGGAGGTATCACTTTTTTCTCTAAAATTGCAGGAGCCGACAATAGGTGCATTTTCCTTGCATGTCAGATTCGATGCAAAGCTCTATATAAATACATAATGTGGTGTCTTATTTCTTGTTTATCTATATCTATAAACTCTTCCTAAAGACTGGAGCAGGTCTTGCGTGACACCCCCCGGAGGCCCGACTGCCAGTGTTGGGAAAACGCTGGGGACATGGGCCTTGGGCCCAAGGGAAACTGCATGTGTCAGTCGAAAGACTCGAAACTGTCCTACTTAGTCTCAACCATAAACGATGCCGATTAGGGATTGGCGGATGTCTATTGGATGTTCGTGCCAGCACCTTATGAGAAATCAAAGTTAACTGGAAGCAGGGGAAGGATGGTTGCAAAGCTGACATGCATTGCATGTATCTTAAATTCTTAATGCAATTCTAGCCGAAGTAACAGCCTGAATACAAAACCCGAAACGGATTTCAGCCGTTATCTTAACAGCCTGAATACAAAACCCGAAACGGATTTCAGCCGTTATCTAAACAGCCAGGATTTGCACGGTGTAAATATTCCCTTCATCTCGGATGGGAAGTCATGGCGTAAAAATTCCCTTCGTCTACAATGGCAAGTCCTGGGTAATGGGCATTCAGAACTTTGCTTGTATCAATTCAGGGTTTTGAATTCAGACTGTTACAGCAAATGCCATTTAGTTAAATTCAACTGCAAAATTGAAAATAACCTCTTACGCTTATTATACAGCTCCCAAACGTCGTTCACAACATCCACTTTGCTCTCTCTCTCTCTCTCTCTCTCTCTCTCTCTCTCTCTCTCTCTCTCACACACACACACACACACACACACACACACACAAGAGAGAGAATACAGGCTTTGTTGCCTCTCTCTCTCTCTCTCTCTCTCTCTCTCTCTCTCTCTCTCTCTCTCTCTTCATACACAAGCGAGAATACAGGCTTCTGGTGCCTCTCTCTCTCTCTCTCTCTCTCTCTCTCTCTCTCTCTCTCTCTCTCTCTCTCCCCCCTCACTTTCACTCTGTCCCCTTCCCTCCCTCCCTAGCACAAGAGAGTGCTCTGAACATCTGTGCTCCTCTCTCTCTCCCTCTCTCCACAGACACACACACACACACAAACACACACAAACACACAAACACACACACAAAGACACACTCGTACAGAAGAAAACAAACACTTAAATACACAGCATGAGAGAGTGAGAATACAGCTAGACCGTTCTCAACACAAAGTACAAAATCCACATTATCAACAAAAAGCGTACACACACCACGGGGCAGGACGAAGGTGAATGGAAGAGAACCACAGACAGGGGGTTCCCTACCCTTCCCCTCAGTCTGTGCATTTCCCGATGCTTTACAGACGGTGGAAGCGCTTACATTTCATCACATTCGCACTGCAAACGCAGTTTTACACCTACATCATGCTGCGGCGATCACCTCACGCTGTGGCGATCACCTCACCGGTGGCACAAGGTCCTAGCTCTATCTCGGCAATATTTCCCTCCACAGGCATCTGCAGTTTTTTACAGCACTGTCTTCGGGGGCGGGATGTCCAGTTGTCAGGGAGAACGGGGGCACGGATCTTGACGGTGAGAATGGTGGGACTTACAATCTCCTTCACACCATCAGGACACATCTCGCCATTGGCAAGAAGTTGCCTTCTTGCATGGCCCGGGCCCCCAGCGTTCATCGCCTCGCCCAGTTCTGGTTGTGTCTCTATTGTGAATTTCGCTTCGTCGGTGCCATGGGTGGCACTGTTCGGTAGCAGGCCCTTTGGACCAGACCCCTCAGATCCAACGGTCAGAACGCGGACCGGGGATGCGCTCCCATTTCCTCCACGGTCTAGTGTGCTGCTCGCTCGGAGTATCCAGTCCCTTTGGTACTCCGTTTCAACCCAAAAGGTACCGTCTGCGGCAGGGTGCGGTTTCGTGATCGACGTCACATGAAACACTGCCGGGATGCTGCAGGCGGGGAGTATACCACCACGAGTGTCCATCGAGAAGTCTTCAGGACCCCTCCTCCAATTCCAAGCCATGAAGGTGCGCTCGGCTCGATCCATTTCGAGCGCCGTGTGCAATCCGGCATGCCAACGAACCGAGAACCCCCAGGCTATGGAGACGGTGGTGTTGTGGGAAGGGTCATAGCAGAGAGATCGCTGAAGGAATCCGGCAGGGTACGCATCCATGGTGCGTACAAACTGCTTAGCTGCTTCAAGGTGATCGCGCCGTGGAAGCAAAGGGAGAATTGCAGAGAGGTGGTGGATGGACAAGAAAGGAGTGATCGGGTGAGCCTCCAGCAGGCCGGTGATGTCCCCTCGAAAGTCCGTTTGATGAAGGCCTTCGATTTTAGTCATCTGTATGCCAAACTCGGACACACAGGCATGGAGGTAAGTATCGCTCGTAGAGCGCTCGCCGCTCCGACGTATGCATCCGTCTTGCGTGCTTGCTAGCGCGCGCGCAAGGGGGTAACTAATTGCAATTCCCGCCCCTCCAAATGCCATCCTGAAAGAGTGCAAGGTGGCTTGGAACTGGGACTCTGAGTGCGACCCCAAGTACTGCATCTGGTCATGATCGTAGAGGGACAGGACACGAACCAGGTTGTCCAGACAGAAGATGGTGTCATCATCACCTAGGACAAACCATGCCACATCAGGAAGGCCCATACGGAAGATCTCGCCTAGTATCCGGGAAATCCTAACAGATGCACGGACATCGGGTCTGGTGGAATTCGTCACATTGTTTATGTCCTCAGAGATACACACCTCAGGGAGGGAGGAGAAGGTGGAGTTTGAGGAGTAGTTCAAGGAGGAGGAAGAAGAGCTGTCCACGATCGCGGTGGTCCCTTGAGGGTGCTCCACTTCTTTGTCCAAGAACACATACCCTCTCGTCTTCCCAGGTCTCCACCATAGCTTCACATACTCTTGTCGAGTGTTCCACGAGGAGGACCATGACGCAATGCCGAAGACAATGTTGTATACGTCGAGTGTTCTGGATCTGTGTGGTGTCGATTTGCAATCAGAACTTCCAGAACAGGAAAGATTAAGAAGACTACCACCATCCACATTCTCTTCTTCTGCTCCCTGTCCGAGTTGTTGTTGCAGATGCTGCTCTTGGTGCAAAGACTGCTTGGCGGCATTTTCGACTGGGATGGGGCGGAGTTCTTGGACGTGTGGATGAGTTCCACCTCCTTCACTTGTTGGCAATGAACCAGCGCCACCACCACCTTCTTTCAGCTGAGAAGTGAAGTTGTTGGTCGTCGAGAGGTGCCCTGCGCTGCGATCACCTGCCGTATCCACAGTGTCGGCTGCGCCATAGCCATAACCGAAGCTAGAGTCCGGCGGCGCAGCAGACCCAGACACAGACGCACCGCCAAACTCTCGAAAGCTGCGGAAACCCACACTGTCCCGCGGATCCAAGCTCGAATCCCTCCTCCTCCCATTCGCATTATTCTGGCCTGCTCTCAGAGTTCTGATATCCACACCTCTTCCTGTTCTGCTGCTTTGCAGCTGCAGCATCTGCTGCTGATGGAATCGGTTCATCCACATCCCAACAAGGCAGGTTATCATTACGCCCAGAGCAACACTGAACAGGTGGGATAAAATTAGACTGCCAACCGATAAGGGTCCTCCCCTTCTCCTGATCATCCTGCCGGCTGGCTGGGATCGCCCTCAAGCACGCAGGGGACTCAGAAGCCTCACACTGACACTGACACTGTCGCTGCCACGTTGGGGTCCTTCAACACCAGTGAATGCAGGCTGTCGTGGATGGAGGATCATGAACGTCGAACCATGAAGCCGAACCTGAAGCCTGAAGCCGAGCTTGAAGCCGAGCCTGACGCCGAGCCTGAAGACTGAACCCGAGCCTGAAGCCGAACCTCCTTCACCGTGAGATGAAAGAAGATGGAAGAGAAGGAACTGGTAGTGAGCTGGATGGCGGTTGCATTTAGTACGGATCTGATTCAGCCAAGTTGGACACGTGGCTGCACGAGAGCAAGGAATGGAGCCGCTGCGTTCCCCATTGCGACCGGGCAGCTGCCACCACAGGTTCTGTCGCCCATTTGCCCACCTGCAACTGTGCTCAAGGACACAGAAACAACACGACGACAACGAAAAACATTTGGTTTTTAGCGATACAGTTTTCAACCCCCGTACCACCCAACCCCTCCCCACCTCACCGGCCCCCCTCCACGCACACATCTCCCTCAGCAGTCGGTGAAAGTCCAGCGGAACAGTCTGTCACTGTCACTCTCCTTGTTGTGGAGTTGTGTTTAGCGCAGTTGACATATTCACACACACACACACACACGGAGAGAGAGAGAGAGAGAGAGAGAGAGAGAGAGAGAGAGAGAGAGAGAGAGAGAGAGAGAGCAGGGAAGATGTTCTGTACTCTGTCTCTTTTGCTATGGATAGTGGTTGTCTGTGTGTGTGGG